ATACTTTTGCAAGCCACTGTATTTGGCATCAGAAGCTCTCTGGTTCCCATTTGTAGCGAATGTTCTGTTAACCTGTTACATCTGAGCATTCATAAATAGACGGTGTGGAATACATTTTAGCATTTTATAAACCAGATTTAATAGGTAACAGCTGATTTAGACTTCTGCAGCGAGTCTTCGTTGAGCTGATGATGTCACCTACACACGTGGACAAGCTACGAGGCTCCGTTCTTCTTTTCATAAGCAGTCTGCTGCCTCCACCGCAGCCGATTTTAAAAACTGCTGTAATAATGAATACATTTAATTTCCAACTCGGGCTGAGAGCTCTGAGACGATAATTAATTCTTCCTATACCACAGCACTTTGAGCTACATCCTGAAAAATAGGGCCTCAAATCTCCAGTACTCCATCACATTGTGCCCTGAAAAAGATCTCAGACAGTCTCGAAAACACAATGACAGAAAATTAGGACACTTTAAAAAAAAAAAAAAAAGCCTCTATTAAGCCATTAGTGCAGCTTTGAGTCATCAAGCACTCGATACAAAAACAGATGAAAAGCATAAATGAGCTGCGCTGTCTAATGTTCCTGCTGAAAGGAGAGAGTGGGTGTGTGGGCTGATGCGGGCAGTGATCAGATCTTCTGTCAGTATTGTGTCCAGCTGCTAGTGACTGTGCTTCAAACAGAAATGAGTCTCATCCCCCTCTCGTTGCAGGCTGATCTACTGGCTCTGCCTCTCCCTGGGCAGCAGCACCAGAGGCTTCGGCTTTGGCTTCTCCTTCTTCCCCATACTGGTCATGCTGGGCACCAATCTCTACTTCGTGTGCTCGTCGATGGGACAAGACAGCGTCTTTGACGTGGCGCCGCCCACCTCGGCTCCTCCACCCAGGCAGCGCTGGTGGGGTTAAAAGGGCGTGGAGCAGAAAGAGACAATGAAACCTGTAATATAATACTTGGAGTATAACGACACAGTTTTTGCTCACAGACAGCTCGTTCTGTCCTGGTGGGTCCAAGTTTTAATAAAGAAGTCATCTGCTGATGAATTAAATATGTTTTATGATCATTGATCAGCAGTGTTGTGTAAAAATATATATATTTTTGTATAATTTAGCCCTGATGCATCATACGGGGCTGTTAATCAGTGACTTCATGAAAAGGATCACGACTTCTCAGTGCGAAATGTTTCCTCTGACCTTTTTCTGTTTACAAAGAATTCAAACGTACGAGCTCCAGTTATGCTGTGGGTGAAGAAAGTGACGTTAGAAAGTGACTTTAAAAACCGGAGCATCAAAATCATCAAAATCAGAAACATTTAATCAACCGTCCAATCATAAAACAGATGACTCTGTACAGTTGTCTTTTTTTTCTTGTTTTCGCTTCGCTTCGCTTCGCTTTGAGCAGACTGACGTAGACGATCCAGTTTATATAGATTTAACATTTTGGACGCCCTCATGAGACGATCCGTTCTTAGTGACCTACAACTCTGTGGTCTCATGTTTTGTGCTGATGTAGTACTTTTTTGTTTGTTTGTATATCTACTTGTTCTTTTTTTCACTTTAGGTCATATTTAGTGATTTAAACTTTAAAATACACAAACTAAAACAATATCTGAACTCTCGACATTAGAGGAGAATTAAAAGCTTTTCAAATCATTGTCTTCCATTTATTTGTTTATTTTCACACTGCTGCTGCCAGCTGTGGCTTTTTAAACGTAATATTTATAACTGTGCCTGTTAAATGCACCTTTGTTGTTTTGATCAAAGGCTTTTCTTTGTTGATAGCAGCACAAACTGAAATGCTATTTTTGGATTGTCCTTTTCTTTTGTGTCCAAAGGATGTTTTGTGTTTACCCCTCCCCCCTCATGCTGTGAGTGGTAAATATGTAAAGAAAATGTCAATATTTGGGCCCCTGAATGAGTTCAATAAATCTTCATTATGAAACATGATAACTGTGCAGCTGATGATTTACATTAAAATGCCTCATTTCTTCAATTCTGTCCGGGAAAGGGTGAGTCAATGTTCTGAGTTTTGGCAACATCTGAATGTAAAGCTGAAAAATGTCCCCAGTCCTGAAAAGCAGACTGCAGAGCCACGATCGCGGTGACCCGACGAAGCTTGAGGAGCGCCGTGAGTAACGCCGCATCGAAACCAGCAAACGACGGACGTGAATGAACTCTGAGTCAGTGCCACAGGGTTGAAGTCCATTACTGTGTCTGCTATCAGAGGGATCGTGAACCCTCCACATGCCCATCCAATATCAATCATTAACATTATCAGTATAACGATGTGTTCAAATCAATAGATTCAATCCAAGTCTAACAGAGTCCCTCAAACATCCCAGAGCTGTGGTGCCAACATAAAGCTGCTTTACAGTGTAATTTTATTTAAGCAGTCATTTATTGATTCATTTTCGAGCTAAAATTTGTGAGTTGCAATAAAATTGCACAATGTACTTTTCCTTAATCACAATACAAGGCTTGTCAGCATTGAAGGGTGGACATGAGCTGCTTGAATGTTCTCTCTCTCTCTCTCTCTCTCTCTCTCTCTCACACACACACACACACACACACACACACACACACACACACCTACCTTTGCCTTTTTAGACATATGTCTTGGTTGGTATGTTTGCTTTAGTTTCCCCAGCCTTTGTCATGTCATGCGTGTGCGTGTACACACCCATCATTCCATATGAAACTTTTCCATGTTGGGCTTGTTGCGACCTGTCCAGGAATCCCAATAAACTCACAATCTGATCAGAAACTACCCTTGAAGGGAGTTTAGAGCCACCTTCATTTGCCGACTTGTCTTTTCTCTCTCTGCATTTTATTTATTTTCTTTTGTAAATTATTAGAACCGACAAAAGTTACTAAGGCTGTAGTCTGGTCAGGTGGTTACTTCGAGGATTGATCCAGCAGCAACAGCCTTTGTTTACATTTCGCAGGTGTGGCTACGTTTTGTTTAAACTGATGACCAAGAAGTCGAGTGTAAATTATAGTTTGGATCTAAAGTCCTGCAACAGTTTCTAATGTGGACTTTTTGTGTCACACATTAAACCAACTAACAACAAGACTTGTCTGTTAGGATGTTCATGTGCGAGTGAGAACGTAGCATAGTTAAATACTGTACTTGAGTACTCTGACTTCCTCCCTCAGTCCAAAAACACGCTAAAGATAAAATGCATGAAGTGTACAGATTAAAGCACTGTGTGAAGCAGCCTGTAGAAAAGCACTATATAAATGGCAGCTCATGAAAAACAAGATTTTTATGCCTATTTCAAGGTTATTTGAGCTGAAAATCCTTGAAAAGGCAGGTAGCCACACGTATAGGAGCATTAAAATACTAGCAGCACTGTGCTCATATAGGGACGGACATGGCCAGCAACAATACTCAGCTAGGCTGTGGTCTTTAAACAATACCAAGGGGCTTAAAGATATCCCCACACCATTACACCAGCAGCCTGAGCAGTGGATAAAAGACCCAATTTGATCTTATTTTTTACACAAAAGATCTGACCCCAGGCAACATTTTACAAACTTCATGAGTTGTAGCCTCAGTTTCCTTTTCTTATGTGACAACAGTGGCACCCATCCTTCAAGATTCAGTGTGCCATTTGTTCACATGCGCTCTTCTGCATGACTCTGTTTGAATTTCATCTCGTTACCTTGACAATGTCTTATCTGCCAATAATTACGTTTTAACTTTTAAAAACAATTTTGGTGTTAAACTGAGTAACTTTTACCTTTCAAAAAGACTTAAATCAGTAATTTAAAAAAAAAGATTTGCTTATATAAAAACATTATTACCAGTAATTAAATTTTTATCTAATGCCACACTTGTTTGCATTAAAAACAGCTTTTATTTCTCTGCTTTTACCAGTTTTCCCCCTGAGAAACATCAATGCAAACCCTTTAAATCACAATGAGTGAAGTCCATATACTATAACAGCGCCTTAAAAGATAATATTGGCTTTTTAGAAAAACTACAATTATTCATTCTTAAATCTCAGATGTTGTTGATGCACGGCTGCTGCTCACCTCCTCAGAGGTTGTGAGAGATGAGCTAAATTTGGCCGTCTGATTATTGTCGAATGTGCGAATCGAACCTCCGTCTCACGTGTTTGTAACTGTGACAATAAGCAGAGGATGAAGAGGGGAAGGAAAAAAGGAAAGAGAGACACGTGAATGCACTAATGGACTGAATTCACAAAGACTTGTGGGTATTTCGCACCTCTTGCTGTGCTGCCACATGTTCCGGATGAGTCATTATAGAAGCACTTTTGCCCCCACCTCGACGTAGGAACAAAACAAAAATGAATCACAGATCCAAATTCATTTCACTCAGTTTGTCTATTTAATATATAAAATACGGTAAAACATACGCAAAAAGGATAAGGTTTCAAGGGACTTGGATACTTTGGTACAACAAACACTTTTTTGTAAAAGCGGTATAGAATTTCAATAACATATCAGTGCATACTTTGTATATGAAAATATACACAAACTGTATATCATTCTCAAAAAAAAAAACAACAAAAAAAGAAATATTTTCTTTACAACAAAACCCAAAGCAGACCAGCTCAACACAATATATTAGCTATAAATTTCATCTTTAGTATTTCATATGCTACATTATTCTGAGTTGCTTTAAAACTCATCTCTGATGCATGTCCTTATCATTACTGTACGTAACATATGTCGTTGTTACCTGTATCCCATGCATTTACATGTTTCAAATTTCAGGATTTTACTAATTTCAGTTGTTTCCCGTTTTTATAAATATATTCTGTATCTTAATTAAAACTGCAGCATTTAACTGGTATTTCCTTCATTGCATTTGCTAATACCACAATAACTGATCGTGCAATTGTCAGCAAAGTTGCCTCAAAAAAGGAAACCAGTACTATATGTTTATGATACGGAAGAGAAAAATAAGAAAGAGGAAATTAAAAACAGTTGGCTATCCTACACAAAAAATAGCAATAAAATAAAAGCTCCATAATAATATCATTATAATAATAATAATAATAATAATAGACAATGGAACTGTCACCAGCACAAATTAATCCAAAAATAGTGAGATTCTAAAAAACATTGTACACAACAAGTAACAGGGGTGCAGGTTTTCATTTCTCATATAGATTGTCTTGTGACTACACTGCTAGATTGGACAGAGAACCTTTTTTTTTTCCTTTTGTACATGAACAAAGCCAATCGGTGTGGTGTCACATTTCAGTCAAACATCAGCGCCCACAGAAACGAAGAGATGCCACTGAAGGTGAGTTTTTCTAAAAGTGGAAACGAGCGGGTGGTACGAGAGGAGATCGTCAGCTCTGTCTGCAGGAAGGCGGACACGCATCCCGAGTGTTCAAAAGGAATAGTTTGAAATCTTGAAATTTCTTGATGGGATGTAGGCCGGAGAAGAGGCTCGATACGACGGTCCAGGAGTCACACTCTGCCTGCCAGCACCTCTAAAGCTCACTCTGTCATTTTTTAACTAAAAAAAAAAAAAAAATGTGCTGCATTAATTTTGAGATCTTACATCTCAACTCTGAGATGTGCCGCGGCTTGTAGTTGTGTAATGTAAACGCCTGAGCTCGATACTTTTATAGTATTGTGAAAATGAATGCAGACGACGCATAATTGAGCTCGAGCTGACTTTATGGTTGTTAACACCGAGACGTGTCAGGTGGAGACATCCAAATTTATTTATGTACATTTTATACAAGCGGGGGATAAAAATGACAAATTTAATTGAATTGATTTTAAGTGTAAAAATTATCCAAATGCTGACACAAGCCTGCAAACGGTTCAAGATTCTCACTTGGAATTTTTCTCTCTGACATCAGAATTTGCCACAGCTGGTCACATTTAGTCGTTTCAGCATGGAAATGTGATATTGCATACATATCAGGATTCTAAATGAATAACTATCATGCCTTTAGAGAGCTCATCTGGAAACCAAACCTTTCACTGTAAGGTGTCGCCACGGCAGATGGATCTGTATCATTCCTGATCTCCTCCGGGTCCTGATGCAGGGATTTACTGCATGTTAGGCCGATGCTATTGGTGACATATCTAATTCGCACAAAGGTCCCCAAACAATCGACTCTAGACTCATATTGTGTATAAGGAGAAAAACGGGCACCCTCTTTTAACCCCGTAAGCCATCAAACCCATCAAAAAACAGCCAGAAAATTCTGATTTTTTTTCAAACTGAGATGTTCATTAACCCTTATAGCAAAATCCACAAAAAATGTTTTTGCTATATCATGTTGTGTATGATATATTTTGATTATATACTTGCTATATATTTCTTTGTATCGCATTTGACACACTGGGTGTTTTTGGCAATTTTTTGTTAACAACAATGTTAATTTTAGACCAAAAAAAAAGAGTTTTGTCCATAAGTTTTTAAAATTATGGCAAGTATTGATCATGTTAATGAGATAGAGGTCTCAGAAACTCCTGTATTAAGGGCATTATAAGGTTAAGAGACACTAAAGATAACTGACAACTTTCATGCTTGCATCACTTCCTGACTGATTCTAATGGATTCGTGTTGCTCTGACAAACTCTGGAGGGAATCACACATTATTCACTTTCTTTAGTGATTTTTGAGAAATTTGTATTTTAACGTTTCAATCTGCAGCTGTAAATAATGTAAATAATTCACTTTCATAAATGCAGCATTAGAGGTAAGCATCAGGCGTGTTGGCTGGTGTTTTGTGTACATACTGATCACATAAGTAAAAGCACGGATCTCCTCGTTCCCACTCACTGTGTAAGTATTCCTTTAAAAAAAACTTCTCCAATAAGCGCTCTTTGAAAGTGTTGGCTGTTAAATTGCTAACCGTGGCTGACTGAGAGGGGAAAGCAGCGCTAACCTGAAATCAGTGGAGTGAAAGACTACCCTCCACACATACTAGGAAAGATGATGATGATGA